AAATGTTGAAACAGAAGGCTCCACCAATTGTCCTCCCTGCAAGGTCATGATTTAACAAGTATCTACATAAAAAAAAGCAACTACATAAGAACCAAAATCAAGTGAGCACTAGCAGTACCCGGTTTTCAACTTCATAACACTGAAAGAGGCACTGAAGAAGAAGGTAAAACAGTCATGAATCACTGATATCACCCGTTTCATATACCCCAGCAATGGCAGTATGGTACTGCCTTGTTAGAGCAGAAAGTGAAACTAAACCAAACACAACTGACATCTACTCATGGAGAGAGTGTTTAAACCAGCCCCAGACAGATGTGAGTCACTGATCCCGGTAGTCTGAGTTCCCACAAGCCTCGCCACCTCAAAAAAGTTCTGTGGAACCCAAGATAAAATTGAAGGCTGACTAGCCATAGGGACTGCAATTGCTAGGTGAGTCCTGGCGGCTGAACTGGGCCCAGAGTCAGTGTTCTGGGGAGGTACCTGACCTAATAAGCCACCAGCTGGGGGAGCTAAGTGAGTGCTGGCATCACACAGCCTCTAATCCAAGGCTGCAGAGATCTCCCAAACAGAAAATCCAAAAGAAATAAGATCAGAGCAGAAATTTTAAAAACTGAAATGAAGAGAATACAAAAGACAAATTAAACAAAAAGTTGTTTTTTAAAAGAGTTAAACAAAATTGACAAACCTTTAGCCAGGCTATCTAAAAAAAAAAAAAAAAAAAAAAGAGAGAGACAGTCCAAATAAATAAAATCAGAGATTTAAAAAAGACTTACTAAAACTAATACTGCAGAAATTCAAAGCATCATTAGTGCTACTATGAGCAACTATATACCAATAAATTGGAAAATCTAGGGGGAAATTGATAAATTCCTAGACACACACAATGAAACATGATTGAACCAGGGGGAAATTTCAAACCTGAACAGACCAATAACAAGTCTCTTAGTGAAGAAAACCTGGTGTCATTACTGTTGTATTTTACCAAACGTTAAAGAAGAACTAACACCAATCTTCCTCAAACTATTCTTAAAAATAGAAGACAATAGAATACTTCCAAATTCATTCTATGAGGCCAGTATTTCTCCGATACCAAAACCAGACAATGAAACATCAAAAAAAAAAAAAAAAGAACAGGCCAATATCACTGATATTGATATTGAATATTGTTGTAAAAATCCTCATCAAAATACTAGCAAATCAAATTCAGCAATACATTAAAATGATCATTCATTATGACCAAGTGGGATTATTCATGGGATGCAAGGATGAGGATGAGACAATATATGTAAATTAATCAATCTGAATATATCATGTCAACAGAATGAAAGGCCAAAAACCATGTGATCATTTCCATTAATACCAAAAGAAAATTTGATAAAATTCAACATCCTTTCATGATAAAAACCCTCAAAAAACAAGGGTGATAGAAGGAAAATACTTCAACATAATAAAAGTCATATTTGACAGACCCACAGCTAGTATCAAACTGAAAGTCTTCCTCTAAGATATGACACATGACAAGGATGCTCACTTTCTCCACTCTTATTCAACATAGTATTGGAAATTCTGGCCAGAGCAATCAAACAAGAGAAAGAAATAAGGCATACAAATTGGAAAGGAAGAAGTAAAATTAACTTTGTTTGCAGAGCAATATATCTTGTATTTGGAAAAAACCTAAAGACTACACTAAAAATATTGTAAATTACTAATTCAGTAGTTACAAGATACAAAATCAACAGAAAAACCAGCAGATTTCTATATGCCAACAGCGAACAATATGAAAAAGCGATTTTAAAAGTAATTCCATTTGCAATGGCCATAAATAAAATTAAGTACCTAGAAATTAACTTAATCAAAGAAGTAAAAGATTGCTACATTGAAAATTATAAAACACTAATGAAAGAAATTGAAGAGGGTGCCAAAAAATGTGATGGTATTTCATGTTCTCAGTTTGGAAGAATCACTATTGTAAAATTATCGATATTACCCAAAGCAATCTACAGATTCAATGTAATCCCTGTCAAAATACCAATGACATTCCTCACAGAAGTTGAAAAATAATCCTAAAATTTATGTGGAACCACAAAAGATCCACAATAAACAAAACTATCTTAGGCAAAAGTTCTAAACTAGAGGTATAACATTACCTGACTTGAAATGATACTATCCAGCTATAATAATCAAAACAGCATGATACTGGAAGAAAAAAGACACATAGATAAATAAAATGAAATAGACAAACCTGAAACAAATCCGCATACCTGCTGTGAACTCATTTTCAACAAAAAAGTCAAGAAAACACAATGGGGAAAAGACTCTCTTCAATAAGTGGTACAGGAAAACTGGATATCCGTATTCAGATGAATGAAACTAGAGCACTATCTCTCACCATATACAAAATTAAATCAAAATTAATTAAAGACTTAAATCCAAGACCTCAAACTATGAAACTTCTGCAAGGAAACATTTGGGGAAACTCTCCAGGAAATTGGTCCAGGCAAAAATTTCTTGATTAGTAACTCATAAGCACAGGCAGCCAAAGCGAAAATGGACAAATGGTATCACATCAAGTTAAAAATCTTCTGCACAGCAACGTAAACAATCCAAAAAGTGAAGTGACAGTATCCAAATGGGATAAAATATTTGCAAACTACCCATCTGACAGGGGTGTATCTGTACCACATGTTCTTTATCCAGTAATCTGCTGATGGAACCTTAGGTTGCTTCCTAATTTGACTGTCATGAACAGAGCTGCAACAAACATGGGAGCGTAGATATCTCTTTGATATACTGATTTCCTTTCTTTTGAGTATATGCCCAGCAGTGGGATTGCTGAATCATGTACCAGCTTTATTTTTATTTGTATTAAGAAACTTCAAACTTCAAATGGGTTAATAACCAGAATATATAAGAACCTCAAACAATTCTATGAGAAAAAATCTAATAATCCAATTTAAAATTGAGCAAAAGAAGAGACATTTCTCAGAAGAAAACACAAATGGCAAACAGACATATAAAAATGTGCTCGACATCATTGATCATCAGGGAAACGCAAATCAAAACTACATGAGATATCATCTCACCCCAGTAAAAATGGCTTTTATCCAAAAGACAGGCAATAACAAATGCTGGCAAGGATAAGAAGAAAAGGGAACCCTTGTACACTGTTGGTTGATGGGAATATAAGTTAGTAGAACCACTATGAGAAAAGTTTGGATTCCTAAAAAAAAACATAAAAATAGACTAGCATATGATCCAGCAGTCCCACTGTTGGGCATATACCCAAAAGAAAGGAAATCAGTATATCAAAGAGATATCTGCCCTCCCCCGTTTGTTGCAGCACTGTTCGCAATAGCCAAATTGGGGAGCAACCTAAGGTTCTATCAACAGATTACTGGACAAAGAAAAAGTGGTACATATATACAATGGAGTACTATTCATCCATAAAACGAATGAGATCCTGTCATTAGCAACAATATAAATGGAACTGGAGGTCATTATATTAAGCAAAATAAGCCAAGCCAGAAAGACAAATATTACATGTTCTTACTTATTTGTAGGATCTACACATGAAAACGATAGAGCTCATGCAGACAGAGTAGAAGGATGGTTACTATAGGCTGTGAAGGGTAGTAGGTGGATGAGGGGGAGGAAAAGTGTACAGTTAACGGGTTCAAAACATAATTAGAAAGAATGAATAAGACTTAGTATTAGCTAGCACAACAGGGTGACTATAGTGAATAATAATTTAATTGTACACTTAAAAATAACCAAGAGTATCACTGAATTATTTGTAACACAAAGAATAAATGTTTGATAGGATGGATACCCCATATTCCATGACGTGATTATTACCCATTGCATGCCAGTATCAAAACATCTCATGTGTCCCACAAAAATATACACCTACTGTGTACCCCAAAAAAGTAAAAAATAAAATGAAAACACAGCTGGTTTCAACTTAGCATAAGCAGTAAGATCATAAGCATATTTAACAATAATTAACAAAAGCAATGTATAGAACAAAAAAGATAAAATATTAAGAACTTTAAATATTGAATTTCAGATAATATTTTTATTTCTACATTTTCCAATTCTCTTTAACAATGCTATCTTAATTTTTAATTTTCAAACAAGTAAATGTTTTGAAAGCTTATCTATCTAACTCAAGAAGCAATATTAGATTATAATTACTTTCAAAAAGAAATTCTTAAAACAAAGAAAAACTTGAACTTCACTGAGCCTCCATATCAGCTGTGGAATTCCTAATTCTGGATTTTAAGTGATAGTTAACTATTTTTTATCACATTCATGCTATTTTAGTTAGACCTCTCTTACCAGTTGCCAAATATAATTATTAACTGATATGAAACTCCCTACTATTTTATAATTAATGGCAATTTAACTTAATATCAGAACTATAAAAACAAAATATAGACTTCTTTTTCATGAAAAATACACACATAGGATTGAAAGCAAGGCCAACTTGAAAAATGTAATTTGCAGAGTACATCACTTTTTATTTTTTATATTTGAAGAAAATGAGTAAATATTGAGCAAAATGTTCAAATTTGTAAAACACTTCTTCTTTTCATGTACTTAGTCTTTTAGTAATCCATCCCTTTGGAATAGAGATATATTCTTGAACATAGTTCTTATTGTTTATTTTATATCAAATGTATTTTGTAATATTACAATAATTTATATTTCACCTTAATTATTTAAATCGACCACACAGTAACGTACTAAATTGGCCTGATTTTAATTCTATTCTCATTTTTTATCAAGTTACTTACCAGAGAGTATATCTGTGCTGCTTATGAACATTCAAATCTCATAGATACAATTTAAGTGACACACAAAGGAATCTTATCAATATTTTATTTTCTAATATTTCTATTTATGAAAAATAAATATCATATTCTTTTTTAAATCTTTTAGATATGTAAGTGTAAATCTTTGGCCTACCAACACCAATTGATTATTTCATATTTACATACCAGTAGCATGAACATAACATGGTCGGATAAGTGGTACTGTTATTGGATCCGAAGGAGGACTAGACAAATATTCAGTGTAGAGTTTTGAAGACTCAAAGAATTAATCCGAACTTGAATGATAAATTTAACTATCACCACCTGATAGAAAAAATACATTATACTCGTTAATTTTTCCTTTGAGAAATATAGGACACTTTATTTAGCCAAACAGCAGTTTTTAAAAAGCACTTTTAAAAAATGAAATTATCTTGCGACATTGCACTACATTATTTAAAACAAGATGGTTCATTTTAATTAGTTCAAAAATGATTCTAAAAATAAAAATAAATTTTAAATAATTCTTATTCATTCGAAATGAACCAGATTTTAAATATAAAATCCAAAGCAGTAAATATTTAGGAAGAAATTATAGAAAAAAGAATCTTGTAATCCTTGGGAAAGCAAAGATTCTTAAATGCAATAGCAATCATTAGATCATCTATTTAAAAGCAATTAAATTGTACAGCATCAATTGTTTAATCTGTTATTTTAAGACATTATTAAGAAAATAGTTATAAGTCAAAAGACATTTCTCACAAAAAATCTATCTTTATCCAAAATACATAAAGAATACCCAAAGTTTAAACATGAACTAATGAAAAAAGTTTGTAAAAATTTGAAAAGACACTTCCGAAAAGAAGCTATACAAATAATATATTAGCACATGGAAAGATGTTTCATATTAAGGAAATGCAAATTGAAACCATATGAAGTATCACTTCACACCTATCAGAATTGCTTAAACAAAAATAACATGTGAACACCTAAAACATTTATACATTGCTCATGAGAATGCAAAATTTTATAGTTACTTTGAAAAACAAGTTTCTTCATTATTGGAACGTTAAGTACATATTTCACATAAAGCTCAGGACTCCCAAATTTAGGTGTTACCCAACAGAAGTGAAACTTATTCATACAACTTTTTATTATGGCCAAAAACTGAAAATAATCCAAATGGCCCTCTAAATGGTGAATGAATAACAAACTTGCTTTTCAACAATAAAAGAATGAACTACTGTTGCATACAATAATGTGGATGAATTTCAAATGTACTATGCTAAGTGAGAGAAGTCAGACTGAAACTTCATGATTACCTTATGAATACCAATGATTTCACTTATATGGCATTTTATAAAAGGCAAAATTATGGGGTCAAATTCAGATTAGTGTTTCTCATGGACTGGAGTTGGAGGAGAGGTTGAATACTAGGTCTTATTTATTCTTTTTAACTATGTTTTTGTACTCATTAACCACCCACACTTCCCCTTCATCCACCTACTACCCTTCACAGCCTATAATAATACACACAAGAAAAAAGTACAGAAAGTGATGCAACTGTTCTCTATATTGATTTTGGCATTTTTTGCACAATTGTATACATTTGTTAATATTCATATAGCAGAAAGAGACTTTTAGCATATGCACATTTTTTTAAAAGTTAAAGCAAATGCCTTGGCTCTGATTTTTATACATCTGGATTCAAAACTCAAAATGGACTGACAATATCAGCACCTAGGAAGGTGAATCATAAAACAATTAACACTCAGAGCTGTAAAATATATTTGCAATTATATAGTGCTAGCCCTTCATTTCAAAAAAAAGAAAATGTGGTCCAGTCTTGATGAAAACACAGAGTCTGCATCAAACAGAAAAGAAAGAGTCGATCTGCATGTCTGGGATTTATCAAAACTAAAAAGGCTGGCTTCAGCCATATGGTAAACAGGCAGCTATAAATGGCCAAGGCCCAACAGAAACATCAAAAACACACAAAAAATGTCAGGAACCATGTTATCAGAACTGTAAAAAAGTCAACAGTTTACAGCAATCAAGTGAACACTGAATCAAGAAAAAAGACAACTTAAAAACAGCAGGAAATCTCTGTGGCACTTTCACTTGCCCTTGTTCTACTCCCTCTAACTCAGCAGTTGTCTTGAGGCTAGCAGCGTTCATTTCCCAGTGCAAGACCCTGAGACCTGATTTTTTATTTTTTTAATTAAATTAAATTAAATGTTTTATTTTACTTTAAGTTCCGGCATACATGTGCAGAATGTGCAGGTTAGTTACATAGGTATACATGTGCCATGGTGGTTTGCTGCATCTGTCATCCCATTATCTAAGTTTTAATCCCCACATGCATTAGGTATTTGTCCCAATGCTCTCCCTCTACTTGCCCTCCACCCACCAACAGGCCCCAGTGTGTGATGTTTTCCTCCCTGTGTCCGTGTGTTCTCATCATTCAACCCCCATTTATGAGTGAGAACATATGGTGTTTGGTTTTCTGTTCCTGTGTTAGTTTGCTGAGGATGATGGCTTCCAGTCTCATCCAGGTCCCTGCAAAGGGCATGATCTCTTTCTTTTTTATGGCTGCATAGTATTCTATGGCATATATGTGCCACATTTTCTTTATCCAGTCTATCATTCATGGACATTTGAGCTGGTTCCAAGTCTTTGCTATTGTTAATAATGCTGCAATAAACATACGTGTGCATGTGTCTTTATAGTAGAAAGATTTATAATCCTTTGGGTATATGCCCAGTAATGCAATTGCTGGGTCAAATGGTATTTCTGGTTCTAGAAATTGCTGCACTGTCTTCCTCAATGGTTGAACTAATTTACACTTTCAACAGTGCAAAAGTGTTCATATTTCTCCACAGCGTCACCAGCATCTATTTTTTCCCGACTTTTTAATAATCACCATTCTGACTGGCATGAGATGGTATCTCATTGTGATTTTGATTTGCATTTCTCTAAAGACGAGTGATAATGAACTTTTTTTCATATATTTGCTGGCCACATGAATGTCTTCTTTTGAGAAGTGTCTGTTCATATCCTTTGATGGATTAAACACTTAAATATAAAACCCCAAACCATAAAATCCCTAGAAGAAAACCTAGGCAATACCATTCAGGACATAGGCATGGGAAAGGACTTCATGACTCAAACACCAAAAGCAATTGCAACGAAAGCCAAAATTGACAAATGGGATCTAATTAAATTAAAGAGCTTCTGCACAGCAAAAGAAACTAGCATCAGAGTGAACAGGCAACCTATACAATGGAAGAAAATATTTGCAATCTACCCATCTGATGAAGGTTTAATATGCAGAATCTACAAGGAACTTAAACAAAGGTACCTGGTTTTTGATAAAACAGAGCAGACTTTATTCAGAAATTATTGTATTTGTCTCTTCCAACATTCTTGGGGCTACATGAAGAACTGATGCAAGGTGCTTGCCATGTTTTGCCTATGTTTGAACTCAATCAAGGCAGAAAAGAAGTGAAATTGTTCAAAAATATTATAAGATAAACAGAAAACCCAAAGCCACCAGACAGAATATTATGGTTGAGACATACAAACACTACTCAAAGTCTGAAAATAAAAGCAGGGAAGCGTTCGGAGAAATTAAGGCATTTAAAAGTGCCCTGGAAAATTTAGAAAGCATCAAGAGTACTCAGGGTAGGACATGTGCTCAGAAAATTCCTGAGACGATGCTCAACTTTCATCTTCGTCTGACTCTAGGCTAAGTGCAAGCGGTAAGTAAAACCTAAGAAAATATTGTAAACAACCTCGCTAACTGCTGAAGTGCCTCAGGACACTCTATCCAAAAAGACTCTAATAGATGATTTGTTAATGTGTCTGATTATTTTAGTTCCTGCAATTTAAGGAAATATCTCAAAACACTACTCAACACCAGACAAAGGAACAGACACTTCAGTGACCATGAATAGCAAAGAATGTATTCTTTACAATAATAGTTTTGAAAAGTCAATAAACAAAATGGATGACTATACCCTTCAACAAGCCAGAAGAGTAAACCCAGGGAAAGGAAGATAATCTGATGTACAGAGTTACCACATTATAATATCCAAATGTCCAGTTTTCAATAACCAAAAACAAAACAAAGATTATTAGAAAGTCCAGCCATAGGACTTTATTAGAAAAAGACTTTAAAACCACAGAACTAAAGGAAACCACAGAAAAGAACAAAAGAATATCATGAAAATAATGTATGTACAAAATGAGAATATCAACAAAGAGAAATCATAACAATCAATAAAACAAAAAGTTGGCTGTTAGAAAACATTTAAAAAATGACAAAACTTTAAACTAGTCTGACAGTTGAGAGAAGAAATGAATAACTAAAATAAAAATGAGATTACAGACATTACTATCAACCACATAAAAAAATGGGTAATTAGGCCAGGCATGGTGGCTCACGCCTGCAAACCCAGCACTTTGGGAGGTTGAGGCAGGTGGATCAGCTTAGGTCAGGAGTTGGAGGCCAACCTGACAACATGGAAAAACCCTGTGTCTACTAAAAATACAAAAACTAGCCGGGCGGGCATGGTTGCGGGCACTTGTAATCCTAACTACTTGGGAGGCTGAGGCCAGAGAATACTTTGAACCTGGGAGGCAGAGGTTGCAGTGAGCCGAGATCATGCCATTGCACTCCAGCCTAGGTGACAAAGCAAGACTGTCTCAAAAAAGAATAAAGGCAGTGGGGGTGGGGGATAGTTCAAAGAGAATTCCATGTACAGCTGTACACCATTACCTTATATAACCTAGATGAAATTGACAGATTCCTGGAAAACACAAATTACACAATCTGACTCAAGAAGAAACAGAAAATATGAACAGATTTATAGCAATTCATTTGGATTTTGATGGTGATAGCATTTACTCTGTAGATTATTTTGGGTAGTATGAACATTTTAATAATTTTGTCTTCTAATCCATGGATACATGTCTTTTCATTTCTTTGTGTCTTCTTAATTTCTTTCATCAGTGTCTCATAGTTTTCAGTGTTTAAGTCTTTTATTCCCTTGGTTAAATTTATTCCTAAGGATTATATTGTTTTTCATGTTATTGTAAATGAGATTTTTCATTTCTTTTGAATGGCTAATTGCTAGTAAACTGAAACACAACTAAATTTGAATGTTAATTTTGTATCCTGCAACTTTACTAAATTTGTTTAATAGATCTAATAGTTTTTTGGTAGAATCTTTAGGTTTTTCTACATATAGAACTATGTCATCTTAAAACAGAAAAAAAAGTACTTCTTCCTTTCTAATTTAAATTTCTTTTATTTCTTTCCC